CCCCTTGTGTTTTTCCTTGTCTTGCTCCTGCTCCTCGCTATCCCGCTCAGACAAGCGTGTGACACATCGCATCTTACAAGTCGTTTCAGCTTTGACCTCGTGATCTTGCTCTTCCTTCATGGTGCTACTGCAGCTTCGGCTGCTGCCCCTTCGGCTGCTGCCGCTGCTTCCGCCTCGGTCGCTGCTCTCGGACGCCCGCCAGGACGCCCGCCAGCCGCTAGTGTCCCCGGCTCGGCGGCAGCGTTCTGACTCAGCAGCAGCCCGTGTTCAGATCCGTTGGTGGCCAGGCGTTCCTCTCCCTGACTCGATCCCAGCGATCGACCCGCTTATTATTCTCAAGACGGAGGATGGCTGTAGCCGCCATTCGACCCTCCCGCTCATGTAAGAGGAAGCATCCGGACTTTGCCGCAGAGTTGTTGCAGAGGCGGCAAAAGAGCAGCCGATCTGGGCTGGGCTTCCCCGTGAGGGCCTTGGTTGCAGCAGCACCTGGGCCCTGGAGGCTTTGCCGAGAGATCTGGAGATCTGGGGGCTCACGTACGCTAGGTTTATGTGGTGCCGACGCGGCAGCACTCCCGCCACGGGCCTTCAAGGTTAAACGCCGCCCGTAGCCTATAATCAATCGGCCACTATGGACGCTCCGCGTGGTTTCCACGCGCCGTGAACGTGTACCGCTGGGCTCTGACGTGGGTTTGGACGTGAGTGTTGGGGTTCCACTCGCACATGGTTGCCCACACGGCGCGCTCCAGAAAGGGCCTCGCTCTCCAGGAATCGAAGGAGTTGGGATCTCTTCCTCGGCAGACAGCGGCGGAAGGCCGGCGGAAGCCAGCCGACGAAAAACGAGGGCCAGCGGAAGGCTTGCGGAAGGCGGCGGAAGTGAAAGGTGTGCTGCCAAGAGGCAGCAGTGTAGCAGCATAGTTTGGCTCAGGGCTTCCGAAACCGACCACAAAGTATTCCAAACGCGCACGCTCACACACAGTCAACCAGCTTTGTAAGGATGGGCGACCTTCCTAAGGGTACCCTTGCATCCTTCCCTCTTCGGTCCATCCTTGGCCACTTTCGTTGGCCGCGCCCCGCTCGAAAAGCTTCGAAATGTGCGTCCAAGGCCCTTGCATCCTTATCGCGCATCCTTACGATACGGGCCAGGTGCACGTATGTTTCCACACTTGCGGCACGAGCGACCGTGCCGGGGTCCACGCCTTGGCGCGATATGGTGCGAGCAAGTGCCAGGTTACTGCGCAAGGGTGCGCCGCCCGCCCCCTGTGCCAGCCTGTGCGGGGGTGAGGGCGCGGCTCCGCTCGGAAGGTCATCGAGAGTGAATGCCTTCGGGCAGGGCAGGGGCCTCGCCTGCAGGCGAGGCGTAGACTTCGTGCGTGGGTCGTGAGCAGGTCCTGGGTCGGTCCAAGGGCCAGGGTGCCCTGGGTTTCTTGGGTTGCGATGCTTTTGCTGTGGAAGGCGCGATGTCCCCGCGCCAAAGATCAATGGACGTCTTTGGGCCTCAGGGTGGGGCTTCCTGTGGAAGGTTTCTTGTGGACTGGCCTCCCGTGTAGAGGCTGGGAAGTGTCTGGAGGCTGGGCAACGGGAGTCGACGAGAGCGTCCGCAATCTTCGAGCCTCGAACCCCCCTGCTGCGCGGGGGCCGCCCTGCCCCAAGGACGAGGAGGACATGGTCTCTCCACGGGATGCCCACAATTGGGCGAAGACTGCCCCAGAAGCCCTGAGGTTCGAACCCCGATGCTCTTGTGGTCGGGCCCCTGCTGTGTGTCCCTCTGCCGCCAGCCAGCGTGCACACCGATCCTGGGCCTGCTGGGCTGGGCCGGGCCAGAAAATCGGACGGGGCGCACTCGGCACGGCTCAGCGCCGAGAGGGGCCAGCCGACCCCCTCCTCCTCCTCCTCCACCTCCTCCTCCTCCCTCCTCCTCTCCCTCCTCTCTCCTCCTCCTCCTCCCTCCTCCTCCCCTCCCCTCCCCCTCCTTCCTCTTCTTTCTCCTCCTCTTTCTTTCATCCTCCTCCCCTCCTCCTCCTCCTCCTCCTCCCCTCCTCCTCCTCCTCCCTCCTCCTCCTCCTCCTCCCCACCCTCCTCCTCCACCTCCTCTCCCCCTCCTCCTCCTCCCTCCTCCTCCTCCCCATCCTTCCTCCTCCTCCTCCTCCTCCTCCTCCTCCTCCACCTCCTCCCTCCTCCTCCTCCACCTCATCCTCCTCCCCCTCCCCCTCACCCCTCCTCCTCTTCTTTCTCCTCCTCTTCTTTTCCCTTCCTCCTCCTTCCTCCCTCCTCCCCTACTCCTCCTCCTCCTCCTCCTCCTCCTCCTCCTCCTCCTCCTCCTCCAGTGTTATCTCGGCTCAAGATCGTCGTCGGAGGCCCCCGCCGCCGTCGCTCCGATTCCTGGTACGCAGGGTGCCCGCCGTGCGCGAGTGTCGCAGGGCGCCCTCCGCGGCGCGCTCCTGGCGACGCACGCTGCTGCTGGGCTGACGGGTGAGTGCTGCGAGGCCCTACGCCTCGCGCGCGCCGCCGAAGTCCTCCTGCGGGCGGCCATCGCGGCCCTGACGGCGCCGCCCGTAACCCGCCGCGCCTCCCACGGCGGCGGTTTTGCCCGCTGCTGCCTCTCGGCGGCGGCGCCGCCCGCGTGGGCGAGGTGGGCGTGCGGGTGCGGGTTCAGCGACACAGGTGACGGCGATGCAGCTGGACTTGGAGGTGGCCCAGGGGGAGCGTGCTGCGCTGGGCGACGTGGCGCAGAGCAGGGACAAGGACATGGGCAAGGGCGGCCCGAAGCCCCCTGATGATGATGGCGACGTCATGAATGACGAGTGGGCGGATGATCTGCCTGTTCGGCCGCCCCCGCGCCGCCCTAGGTTTTCGGGCCTGCGGGACGGCGACCGCGTCCGTCTTCGTGATGGTCTATGTCTCCGTGATGGTTCTCGACCGCGTGAAGGGACGTTCTACGGCGACCCCGAGGAGACGGAAAAGAGCTGCCGCGCGACCGTCCGGGTGATGGTGGCCAAAGGCAGCCGTGCTGTGGTGTGGCCCATCGCAGTCGAGGA